TTCGAAGATGGGATTTCTCATATTCTCATAACAGTGAATCACTGATTAACTGTAAACAGATTTACGATGTAATGAAAGAGGTCAGCTACATGAGTTTATGCTTAGAAATTCACCTGTATCTGTAGAACGAAACATTATCCATCATCAGCACATATGCCAGTCTGCTAGCACAGAAGCTAATCTATCTGATGGTATGCAGAAACCACTTTGGTCACGGGCAAACTTGAAGATACAGGTTGTTTGATTGTTATAATCTTAAAATTCTTACCTAATAACATAAAGATCAATTACAGAGGGTTTGGTTGCGTGATGAAATCGCTAAGGTTTATGGGATACCTCTAGAAATTTATCTGTAGCTGCCAAACAAGGATCTCTCCATAAGAATCCTGTAAAACTTTTGCGATAGCAGAGAATCTGTTCAGTCCAATTGTGAAGCTAACCTTTTCTTGTTTTCTCACCAAAAGACTATCATAGGAGAAGTGCTATCATTTCCTACTTGTTGTTTGTTGTTTTGCAGATTTACATGGTTAAACTTTCGCTCTGCGGTCTTGTTGGTGGATGGTAGTTAGATTTCGAATGTGGTACTTTCTCCGATGTCAATTCTGGTTTTATCACATTTCACATGTATCGTGATCGCTTACGGATCAGTTCGCTATGATTGTAGCGTTTGACTCTCATCAGATCAATTTCACATTATGTACGCAGAAGAACTGATTGCAATTTTAACACAATCACTCGACGGAAGGCAAACGGTCTCCATGATAGCTCAGGGGTAGAACTCCAAACGGCAACTGGTACGTCACGGGTTCGATTCCCGTAAGCGGAGGAAAGTTTTGCTCGGAAACGAGTGGTGTACCAATAGTATTGTTGTGTTGCGAGTCTGACTCAGGATATGATTTGGCTTAGATCTAATTATCTTATATTTCTTATGGTATTGCAAAAGAACGTCTTCAAATTAATTGTAAGCCTATTCACTTGTCTTACCTTGCGAGTTGCGAATGCGAAGCTAATAATGTTACTTTTGCAACCCGCAACGATATTTCAACAAAACGAACTTTTCTTCTTGGCTCAATTTGGTTCAGAAATTAAATAAGAAATTATTTCGGATCCGCAATTTGTAATTTTTTTATATGGACAAATGATGTGGCAGATTTATTTTGCCTAAGATGTTGAGTGAAATTTTCTAAAGTCAGATTTTGCTAATCCTCAGTGCTGATCGATCAAATCACGTTGCTTTACTCTTTACGATAGCTCTTATTGTTTCATAAATTCCCATTCCATTGCTTCTGTGTAATTTAAGCATAAAACTGTGTTCGTTGCAGGTTTATGTAAGATGGGAAGACTTTCATCAGAATCCGAGAAAGGACCTGCAAAGAGTACGAAGAAAAAGGTCTGCCTTTTTTCACATTCTCTCTTTTTCATCGATATTTTTGTGAAAGCTTCCAGTTACAATTCATTGTGCAATATTCATTTTTCACTTTCATTCATTCAGTTGTCCTCAGAATTTATTGTTTCAAAAACATGGAAAATTATTTTGAGAACCTTCCTACTTATAAAAGTTTATCCCCTGTTTTCGCATATTCGATAATCTCCTAAATTTGAGCTAATCAAAATTTTATTCAAAATGAGAGGGGAACTGTTTAATTACCATGGTAATATGTCTATGATATTTTCATTATTTTGGCTTCACTTTAAGTCGAACTTTTCCACTGTAATGAAAAAACATTTTTTTCGAAATTGGTAATTGTTTACGCAAAAGTCTTACGGAAACTCATGCAGGTATAAAAACTTTCGAGTTTCTTTTGGTGTTGTCTTGAAAGAAGGTGCTAATTATGAGCTATTTCAGCGTAAGAGAGTATCGCGGTCATCATCCGGATCAGAAGGCATCGATGAATCTGACAGTGAGTTCGATGCACCGAGCCAAGATGGTGATTCGCATTTTTGGACGTATGATCTTCAAGAGATGGTCACTAAACAGGATTTTCAACACTCGAATGTTTACAAGTGTTTAACTGCTAAAGGTACCGTCAAGCAGTATTGCATCCATTATTTTCGCTGACATTATTTCTAGTTTCACTCTTATCGATCTCGATGTCAATGCGATTGTCTTTATGAAAATTGTTTTGTTTATTTCAATGTTTGTTAAATTTTTTGTGGAGCATAAATGTTACATTTCTTAGAATTTACACTGCAATATCTGCGGCAAAATGGACTAAACAAACCAATCCTGTTCTCGGATCCTCCAGCTGCACTCGGAATGAAGTAATTTTCATTTTGAACTTTTACTTTTACATGTTTTCGATTGATACACATGTTCACAGTTTCATCAATTTTCTTAAATCACATGTCAATTCGCTCATCGGAACATTGCAAAAAGAAATGCTTGCATATAGCACTTTGTGTCAGTTCTAGTCTATTTTTGATCATTCCATTGTTAAGTTTTATTCTGATGCGCTCTCAGATTTCTTGTCGACGTGCCTCAGTGATTCCAAAAAAAAAACAAAAATGTTTTCAGGATGCCAAAATCGACAAAGTTTTCCGTGCAGAGTGTCAAGAATCTGATTGGTGGTGATCGCATCATCGAAGTGATCGAAGTGAATTGTCAAGGAAGTCGTCAGATGACACTCACTGATTTCATCAAATACTACAGGTTCTTTGCACTTCTTTTGTTCTGATCATACTAACGATAATAACGAAGACTTATATCAATTGTACTAATGATCTCAGTGATAACAATAATGCTGGTAATTAAAGCGATGACAATAGACACTAATTTATGCGAATATCTCTATTTATAGTATACACTTGTGCAACTTAATATCATGTTATTTTATAAAGTCGAATTAGTTGAGGGCATTTCAAGGGTAATGTGCTCACAGTCAGTTTCTTTTTCATACTCTAAGCAGCAAATTATTTGCGTGATTGCATTTTTGCAGAAGTGATCCATCGAAACGAACGGTTCTGTTGAATGTTTTATCGCTGGAATTCTCGATGTCACCTCTCGGTGAAAAAGTCCTATCGCCGGCACTTGTCAGAGAGATCGATTGGGTCGAGCTCTATTGGCCACCTGAGTTGAGGGTCGTTGATGATTCGGATGGCGATTTTCAACCACCGTTTCCGAAAGTTCAGCAGTCAGTTTTTTTCTATCTGCAAGTTAATGACAGATTTAATGATCGCCACTAGAGTTTGGTTAACACATCTGAAAAAATGAAAGTATAATAATATGAAATTGCAGTTATTGCTTGATGAGTGTCAAGGATTGTTTCACAGATTTTCACGTTGATTTTGGTGGCACCTCCGTGTGGTATCATATACTCAAGGGCAAAAAGGTGATTCGTTTCACTCTTCCGTGATGTTTTATTTATATCTGTTATATTGCAAGCTTATTATATATGTGCTACACATCGTATTCAGAAAGGCGTTTTTGTTTATGAGTTAATGAATTTTCTTATGTAGTAATTAACGTCAGATATGAAGAATGAAAAAAGCAGTGTCACTACTTTTTAGAAGTTTCAAAAGAGAGGATGTTTCATTGGTTTTAACTTGAAGTAACTGACTATGCTTAAGATTAGGATCTTGATCTTAGTTATTGTTCAATAAAGTGCTCGTTTCAGATATTTTGGATGATT